ATCCCTACCATGGCTTATCCCTTGTGCGCACCATAGGCAGCCTACATGCGGGCTGCAGGGCAGCCCGGCTGGCCTTGGTGACGCTTGGGGTTTTACCTCGATTTGCGTGTAATTTCTCGGGATTTTAATCTTGATTTGTGTGTGACACAAAACTAATTCCAAATTTATTTTAGAATTAATTTAGGGTAAAATGAAAATAAAATAAGTCTAACTTGATTAAATTCAATTTGATGGTGCACAAGCCTAAATAATCCAAAATTTTATTTTGAAACAATTTAGGTCTTTCTTTATGCTTAAAATTGAATGAGCTATGTCCATAATTAATTTAGCCAATATGCAAATTAATAATGGATTTGACAAAATAAAGTTGGAAAATAAATTAACCATCTAATGATAAAACTTTTTCAACTTTTATACTTGTGTAAAATACCAAGATTACATCTTCCAATATGAAGATTAATCAAAATTTTACTCACAAGTATTTGAACTTCATGGATAAAAATGAAAAAATCCAAACTTTGTTCAACATGGAATTTAGGGTTAAAGTTCCAATCATTTAAACTTTTAAAGATTAGATCTTTAACATTCTTAGGAACTTAAAAATTACACATTCACATCAAACATTCACACATTAATGCAATTTATTTGCATAATTGTGAAAAATCAAGTTTGTGTGACAAAAAGCATATCAACTCAAGCACTAATAAAAACTCCATAATTATGCTTAAGGATATTTAAAAAGCAGTAGATTAAGGATACAATAATGCATTTAATTTAACCTTGTAATGCTTGCATTAATCAAGGCTTAAAAAGATTTAAAATTTTCATTGAAAAACGAAAAACCCCTAAAAACTTGGGTTTCTGGTTCGAATTTGGCTTCTGGACAGTTCTTGAAAAGGGTTGAATCTATTTCAGAATGTCGATTCCACCCAAAAATCACTATTTTTGAGCAAAAATCTGGGTTCGATAGCAAAGAGCTTCTAATCTAATTAGAAAAGCAAAACCAGAATTTAAATCTTACTTTAAAACACCTTAATTAATAAATAATTGCAAAAATTAAAAGGAGCCTGGCTCCGATATTGCTGGGCAGTCATGTGGTGTGCCTACAAATGAATCATTAGAGATGAATTGAATAAACTGTGGTTTAAATTTGAAGTGTTGAGCAATGACAGGTGGCCTGACAATGCTAGAAAGGAGTCCGGTTGTCGTATCAGGAATACCGTACTCCAAAAGGGATTTCGTTACTTGGTCTACCATGTTTCTCCTACGTCGATTTCTTGTTCTCCTTCTTCTTATAGTTGCCTCGATCTCAGAGTCAAATGGTTCAAGATCTTCTGAACCTGAGCGTCGTGTGGGCATACAACAAGAAAACTAGAGAAAGTGTATCAAAAACACAAGAGAGAATAGCCGAAGCAACGAAATATGCCTAGCAAAAACGAATCACAAATAATCTAATGAAACCGTTAGTCCCCGGCAACGGTGCCAAAATTTGATAGGCGGTCGCACACCTACCAAAAATAACCTAACTAATCCTCCTAACTATGTAGTAGGGCAAGTCAGGGTCGATCCCACAGAGACTATGGTTCACCTGAATTATCTAGACTCAAGTAATTACCAAGCAAGAATCAAATAATGGTGGAATAAACTAAAAGCTAATGTATGGAAAACTAGAAAAAATTGAACGAGTATGATAAATCAAATAACTAAAACATCCAAGATCAAGTATCACCACAATTACAATCGATGCAATTATATTTCTACCCCTAACATACGATTCCAATCGAATGGGGAAAAGTAAACCCTAATCAATACCAAAGACCTCTCTCGAGTATCAATGGCTTCCCTAACATACAATCAAGCCTATTCTCATGGTATCATGCAAATTAGAGACATTAAGCACATTACTCTAACTTCCCAATTATCAACCCAACTATTCTCATGTTGAATCTCAAACCCTAAATTGATCTACCCAATTCCGTTTAAACCCAACTCTTGTATGATAGAAACAATGGAATAATAACAATACTAATTATCTCTAATCTTGTATTGGCATAATCACAATCAATTTAGCATAAGCAATTACAAAAGTCATTAGAGAATTTAAAGAATTAATTCATGCATCAATCATAATTGGGCTACCCTAGATCTTGATATAAAGAAACTACTCACTCATAATGAAATAAACAATAACAAAATTAATTAAGGAAAATATAATTAAGAAAAGTAAAGATGAAAAGAAAATACCGAATCTTGAATTGAATGGAAAACGGAAAGTAGAAATCTTGAATCTTGAATTACAAAAGCAAAGCAAATTAATGGAGAGAACTAGGTTTTTAACAATGTAAAACTAGAGACTAATAAAAACTTTATTATGAAATAATACAATACTTAGTGTATTTATACTACTAGAAAGATAATAAAACGCTCAAAAGACTTGGCGCATAATTCTCCCAGGGGGCACAGACGTGCCTACAAGAGGCACGGACGTGCCTCAGATCGAGTGCAAACTTCCTTGGCTTCTGACTTCCAGGCACGGACGTGCCTGTGCTGGGCACGGACGTGCCTCTTGACGAGTGTAATTCTGCAATCTTAGGCACGGACGTGCCCCTGCTAGGCACGGACGTGCCTAATGTCGAAGCTCATAGCTGTATAAACTGACTTGAAGGCACAGACGTGCCTCTGCTAGGCACGGACGTGCCTCTGCTAGGCACGGACGTGCCTCATTCCAAAAGTCCCTAAATAGCTCGTTCTTCAATTAACAATCCTTGTGAAGGTTCGTGTGCCTCGGTTTAGCTTCGTGACTTCGTAAAATATCCAAATTAGCTCCGTTAATCCTGAAATACATCAAAAACAACGAAACTACCCATAAAAGCATCGAATCATCGAAACTAAACCAAATTACACCAAAATAGACTAAAACACTCGACTAATCTAATAAAACAAACTAAAAATAAGCTAACAAATATGCACAAAACACGGCTTATCAAACTCCCCCAAGATAAACCAATGCTTGTCCTCAAGCATTTAACCATGAATCACAAGGGATGAGAAAGACAACTTCTCAAACCATCATAATGTGCCATCAAATTGAAATCACGAGGAAAACAAAAATTAAAGTTAATATGCATAAAACCACCATAAACCTCTTAAACTTGGAATCGGCAAACATCTTACCACACATCTCCCCATACCAACTCACACAAACATGAATAACTCTCACTTTAGTTGTGAAAAAAAAAAAAACAAATAACGCTCATGTGTTTACGGGGTGAAATACGATATCACTCAACCTAAGCATAGAATGCATGTCAACTTCACATGAATTGTCCTCTTTAGGCTTGCAATGTGACTTTCTCCACTTCTAATGATTGATGCAATTACGAAAATCATGAAATCCATAAAGGGTAAGCTTGGTAAACAAGGGTTGGACGACGTTATTTGGGAATGTGGTGCTCAAAATATAACAAATCCTAATCCCACTACACATTCAAATGTTGTGTTCAAACCAACCTTATTTCCTCCAACTTCATACAAAATAAGCATAGCCCATTATTTCTTTCTTTTTCCTTCTCTTTTTTTTCTTTTGCAAAAAGAAAAGGATTCATAGCAAATTAGGATTTAGGAAGACTTTAAACTCTTTAATTCGAGGTAAGGGTGTATGCAAGTTCAACACCCTTTTTTTTCTTTCTTTTCTTTTCTCTTCTTCCTTCCTTCCATCTAATAAATCAATTCCCTTCTTTCTCTTTTTCTTTTTTTTCAATTTTTTTCATTTTTTTCATATATCACTCATAGGGCTTTAACAAGTGTAATGCTCCTTCAAAATAAACCTAGGAAAATAGCTCTATGGCTTTAAACGTAGGGTATCAAGAAGGGGTTAAAACACGGCTCAAATTGGCTCAACCTACGGGTGAATGAAAAATAAAAAAAATTATGTAGGCCTAGAATGTGGAGGCTCTATTCTCTACAAGGAAATTTCAATCATTTTTTCGCAACATGCATCATTTAAGTCTCAAACAGTTAAAGAGCAAGACCAAGAATTCAATTATGTGAAGGACAACTAATCACACATGAAGAAACACGACTGAGATAGAGTGAAATCAGTCAAATATGGCTCAAAAATCTCACCGGGTACACAAACTATTCACATAAGTAGAGCGGGGAGACCATCCTGACCACAAACCAACTCAATTCCAAGCAAATCGGTGAATGGGTTTTCAAAAAATATTTTCGCAAAGCACACATATATGATTGTTATCATAGAAGCATAGGCATGTAAAGGCATATCAACAACACTAGAAAAAAAAACTAACCAAATACTAAAAAAAATAATATATACATGGTGAAAAGTGAATCCTCCCCCAAGCTAAACCATACATTGTCCTCAATGTATGTATAAAACAGTGTAAATGGACAAGGGGAGAGGAAAACAGATCTATTGATCGGGAGGGGGAAAACCACACCTCGAGTCGGAGCTAGGTTGGAAGCACGGGCGTGCCTTATTTCGTGGACTCCTTCTTCGTAGAATTTGCTCTTTTAACCTATTTAGATAGAGAAAATAATAAAAATTAGAACACTAATAACCACATCTAGAATCAAAAATAAAAATAAAAATATGAATAAAAGAAAAGTTAAGGATCGAGAATGGGTTGCCTCCCATTTAGTGCTTGTTTATAAGGTATTTAGCTCGACCGTAGTGATACTCAGCCTGGGTCACCACACGAAGAAGGAACTCCGCGATGTTGCCCATGAAAATATCTGCTTCCAAGTGACTCCTTCATTTTATAATTGACCTGCCTTGTATCCGAACTCACCTTCATATGGCCAAACACATCATCGGGTGGAATTTTGTCCTTGCTTCTCACGAACATTCTGTCAAATACATACTTATCAACCAAGGGGTTAGTAGCATCAATTCTTAAGCAAGTACCACCATCAAATATAGAATTATGTTCATCAAAGAGCTTGAACATGACTTGTTTATCCTGGGCCCTAATGGTGACTTATCCTTTAGGAACATCTATTACAGCTTGACTTGTGGCAAGGAATGGACGACCAAATATAATCGGGATCTTATGGTCTTCTTTCATGTCCATAACAACAAAATCAACAGGAAAAACAAGTTCACCAACCTTAACTAATACATCCTCAACCACACCCTTAGGGAGTCTAGAGGTCCTATCAGCCAATTGAAGAGAAATAGGGGAAGGTTTAAGTCCTTGCAAGCCTAAACTCTCATATAACGAATAGGGCATTAAGTTAACACTAGCACCTAAATCGCACAAAACCCTATCGAAAAATTTTTCGTTTATCGTGCAATGAATAGTGAAACTACCCGGATCATGCAGCTTAGGTGGTAGGTTATCATATAAGAGAGTAGGGCCTTTCTTATTTACTACTTCCTTATCCTCATGTTGATCTTTAATATTCTTCACCAAATTTGCAAATTGAGGCATTTGAATTAAAAGATCGGAAAAGGGAGTAGAAGCGTGTACCTTCTCAAGGGCTTCGCGATATTTCCCAAAATGTCTATCGAGTACGGCTTTTGACAACCTTTGCGGGAAAGGCATTGGTTCCTCATAAGCCGGTGGAGCAACATATCTGGGGCCTTGGACATCTTTGCCCTTTTCATCCTTCCTAGACTCCACACTGCACACCTTCTCACCTATTTGCCTCGGAGATGGTTCATCTCTTCTCAAGAAAACTGCATTGCATTGTTCTTTCTGGACCTTTTCTTGATCATGAAGAGTTGATAGGCGACTCACCTGTTGTGAAAGTTGACTTATTTGGGTTTCCATGAGCTTACTCTGGGCTTGCAACTGTTGGATGGAGTTACCTTGTTGTTGGATAGAGCTACTTTGTTGTTGGATGGCACTATTGGTTGCGGTAATAAAGCTCTCCATCATTAACTCAAGGCTAGATTTTTGGGGAAGTAGTTGCGTTGGTTGTTGGTTCATAGGTGGTCTTTGTTGGAAACCGGGTGGTGAGTTGTAGTTGTTGGGTAGGGATGGTTGTGATGGTGGATTATGTTGTGCTTTGGTGTTCTTATAAGAGAAGTTGGGATGTTGTTTCCAACCTTCTTTGTAAGAATTGGAGTAGGGATCAAAAGGTTGTTTGGGGTTCGAAGAGTAGAAAGCATTGGCTTGTTCAATAGACTTCTCACTCATGTTTTATAGGCAATCCAGTGCGATGTGGCCCTGCACATTGCACAATTGAAAAACCTCCAGTGGGCTAGTAGAAGTTCCAGCTTGGAACTTATCAAACCTGCTTGTTAGTGCCTGCACAGAACTGGTTAACATAGTCAAAGCATCTACAACAAGTTTACCTCCCTTTTTCACATTATGCCGACCTCCTGGATGGTAGTTATCGTTGGTCGTCATCTTCTCTATGAGCTCCTTTGCCTCAGTTGGGTTCTTTGTCAAGAGAGAACCCCCTGATGCAGCATCAATGTAGATTTGGAACTCATGGGTTAGGCCATTATAGAAGGTTTGAATCAACAGCCACTCTAGGATACCGTGATGAGGGCATTGTCTCTGTAAGCGCTTAAATCTCCTCCATGCTTCATAAAGGGACTCATCATCTAACTGCCTGAAGGTAGATAGTTCGTTTCTTATCCTTGCGGTCTTTTCCTGTCCCAAGAACTTGACCAGGAAAGCTTTCACTAGCTTGTCCCATGTATCAAATGAGCCAGTGCCTTCATCTCTCAACCATTCTTTCGCCCTATCCCGTAGTGAAAAAGGGAAAGGGCGAAGTCTGATAGCATCATCTGTAACACCATTCATTTTCATAGTATCACATTTCTCCAAGAAACTATCAATATGACTTACTAGGCAGTCATGTGGTGTGCCTACAAATGAATCATTAGAGATGAATTGAATGAACTGTGGTTTGAATTTGAAGTGCTGAGCAGTGACAGGTGGCCTGACAATGCTAGAAAGGAGTCCGGTTGTCGTATCAGGAATACCGTACTCCAAAAGGGATTTCGTTACTTGGTCTACCATGTTTCTCCTACGTCGATTTCTTGTTCTCCTTCTTCTTATAGTTGCCTCGATCTCAGAGTCAAATGGTTCAAGATCTTCTAAACCTGAGCGTCGTGTGGGCATACAACAAGAAAACTAGAGAAAGAGTATCAAAAACACAAGAGAGAATAGCCGAAGCAACGAAATATGCCTAGCAAAAACGCCATCACAAATAATCTAATAAAACCGTTAGTCCCCGGCAACGGCGCCAAAATTTGATAGGCGGTCGCACACCTAACAAAAATAACCTAACTAATCCTCCTAACTATGTAGTAGGGCAAGTCAGGGTCGATCCCACAGAGACTATGGTTCACCTGAATTATCTAGACTCAAGTAATTACCAAGCAAGAATCAAATAATGGTGGAATAAACTAAAATCTAATGTATGGAAAACTAGAAAAAATTGAACGAGTATGATAAATCAAATAACTAAAACATCCAAGATCAAGTATCACCACAATTACAATCGATGCAATTATATTTCTACCCCTAACATACGATTCCAATCGAATGGGGAAAAGTAAACCCTAATCAATACCAAAGACCTCTCTCGAGTATCAATGGCTTCCCTAACATACAATCAAGCCTATTCTCATGGTATCATGCAAATTAGAGACATTAAGCACATTACTCTAACTTCCCAATTATCAACCCAACTATTCTCATGTTGAATCTCAAACCCTAAATTGATCTACCCAATTCCGTTTAAACCCAACTCTCGTTATGATAGAAACAATGGAATAATAACAATACTAATTATCTCTAATCTAGTATTGGCATAATCACAATCAATTTAGCATAAGAAATTACAAAAGTCATTAGAGAATTTAAAAAATTAATTCATGCATCAATCATAATTGGGCTACCCTAGATCTTGGAATAAAGAAACTACTCACTCATGATGAAATAAACAATAACAAAAATAATTAAGGAAAACATATTTAAGAAAAGTAAAGATGAAAAGAAAATACCGAATCTTGAATTGAATGGAAAACGGAAAGTAGAAATCTTGAATCTTGAATTACAAAAGCAAAGCAAATTAATGGAGAGAACTAGGTTTTTAACAATGTAAAACTAGAGACTAATAAAAACTTTATTATGAAATAATACAATACTTAGTGTATTTATACTACTAGAAAGATAATAAAACGCTCAAAAGACTTGGCGCATAATTCTCCCAGGGGGCACAGACGTGCCTACAAGAGGAACGGACATGCCTCAGATCGAGTGCAAACTTCCTTGGCTTCTGACTTCTAGGCACGGACGTGCCTGTGCTGGGCACGGACGTGCGTCTTGACGAGTGCAATTCTGCAGTCTTGGGCACGAACGTTCCTAATGTCGAAGCTCATAGCTGTGTAAACTGACTTGGAGGCACGGACGTGCCTCTGCTGGGAACGGACGTGCCTCACTCCAAAAGTCCCTAAATAGCTCGTTCTTCAATCAACAAGCCTCGTGAAGGTTCGTGGGCCTCGGTTTAGCTTCGTGACTTCGTAAAATATCCAAATTAGCTCCGTTAATCCTGAAATACATCAAAAACAACGAAACTACCCATAAAAGCATCGAATCATCGAAACTAAACCAAATTACACCAAAATAGACTAAAACACCCGACTAAGCAAATAAAACCAACTAAAAATAAGCTAACAAATATGCACAAAACACGACTTATCAGTGTATCCCTTCAATTTTGAAGCATCAAAATAGGCCTAAATTGATTTAAAGAATGGTTCTTGAATAATTTAGGCTTGTGCACTATTTAAATTGAATTTAATTAACTTGGACTTGTTTTAATTTCATTTTTCGCTAAATTGATTCTAAAATTAATTTAGAATTAATTTTATGTCACACGAATATCGAGATTAAAATCCCGAAATAATAGCATGCGAATCGAGGTAAAATCACCCAAACGCTACCAAGGCTAGCCGGACTGCTCACGCAACCCACATAGTGTATTTAATTTTAGTAAAATAATACAATACTTAGTGTATTTATACTACTAGAAAGATAATAAAACGCTCAAAAGACTTGGCGCATAATTCTCCCAGGGGCACAGACGTGCCTACAAGAGGCACGGACGTGCCTCAGATCGAGTGCAAACTTCCTTGGCTTCTGACTTCCAGGCACGGACGTGCCTGTGCTGGGCACGGGCGTGCCTCTTGACGAGTGCAATTCTGCAGTCTTGGGCACGAACGTTCCTAATGTCGAAGCTCATAGCTGTGTAAACTGACTTGGAGGCACGGACGTGCCTCTGCTGGGAACGGACGTGCCTCACTCCAAAAGTCCCTAAATAGCTCGTTCTTCAATCAACAAGCATCGTGAAGGTTCGTGGGCCTCGGTTTAGCTTCGTGACTTCGTAAAATATCCAAATTAGCTCCGTTAATCCTGAAATACATCAAAAACAACGAAACTACCCATAAAAGCATCGAATCATCGAAACTAAACCAAATTACACCAAAATAGACTAAAACACCCGACTAAGCTAATAAAACCAACTAAAAATAAGCTAACAAATATGCACAAAACACGACTTATCAGTGTATCCCTTCAATTTTGAAGCATCAAAATAGGCCTAAATTGATTTAAAGAATGGTTCTTGAATAATTTAGGCTTGTGCACTATTTAAATTGAATTTAATTAACTTGGACTTGTTTTAATTTCATTTTTCGCTAAATTGATTCTAAAATTAATTTAGAATTAATTTTATGTTACACGAATATCAAGATTAAAATCCCGAAATAATAGCATGCGAATCGAGGTAAAATCACCCAAACGCTACCAAGGCTAGCCGGACTGCTCACGCAACCCACATAGTGTATTTAATTTTAGTAAAATAATACAATACTTAGTGTATTTATACTACTAGAAAGATAATAAAACGCTCAAAAGACTTGGCGCATAATTCTCCCAGGGGGCACAGACGTGCCTACAAGAGGCACGGACGTGCCTCAGATCGAGTGCAAACTTCCTTGGCTTCTGACTTCCAGGCACGGACGTGCCTGTGCTGGGCACGGACGTGCCTCTTGACGAGTGTAATTCTGCAGTCTTGGGCACGAACGTGCCTAATGTCGAAGCTCATAGCTGTGTAAACTGACTTGGAGGCACGGACGTGCCTCTGCTGGGAACGGACGTGCCTCACTCCAAAAGTCCCTAAATAGCTCGTTCTTCAATCAACAAGCCTCGTGAAGGTTCGTGGGCCTCGGTTTAGCTTCGTGACTTCGTAAAATATCCAAATTAGCTCCGTTAATCCTGAAATACATCAAAAACAACGAAACTACCCATAAAAGCATCGAATCATCGAAACTAAACCAAATTACACCAAAATAGACTAAAACACCCGACTAAGCTAATAAAACCAACTAAAAATAAGCTAACAAATATGCACAAAACACGACTTATCAGTGTATCCCTTCAATTTTGAAGCATCAAAATAGGCCTAAATTGATTTAAAGAATGGTTCTTGAATAATTTAGGCTTGTGCACTATTTAAATTGAATTTAATTAACTTGGACTTGTTTTAATTTCATTTTTCGCTAAATTGATTCTAAAATTAATTTAGAATTAATTTTATGTCACACGAATATCGAGATTAAAATCCTGAAATAATAGCATGCAAATCGAGGTAAAATCACCCAAACGCTACCAAGGCTAGCCGGACTGCTCACGCAACCCACATGTGGTTGCCTTGGCGCGCATGGTGGTGCTTCCACCTCGAAGCGTTGTGGCTGTGTGGCAAGGGTAGGAGTGCGCAAGGGTATGCTTGTGGCTTGTGGTGCGTGGCTGCTGGGATGCTCGCATGGCTTCTGGGCAGCAAGGCAGGGAGCCCCAACCAGGCCCAACCACACCAGCCCGCACGCTTGATGCGATGCGTGCTTGTGCTGGCAAGCGCAGCAGTGCCTTTCTAAGCATGCTGCCAGCGCCCAAGCAGCCCCAGCCGTAGCCTTAGTGCCTAGCAAGCCTAACCCATGGCTAGGATCCTAGGCACTTGGTTAAGAGTAGGCTGATTTTATCAATGCATGGGCTATGCGTTTTGCAAAAATTTTCCGTCTTAATTTCATTTAATTATTTTAACGAGGCTAGGCCTCAATTTTTCCGGCTCTTGTAAAATTTTAATTTTGACAAAATTTGGATTAACCGGCTTAATTAATTGG